ATATATATGTATATATATATATATATATATATATATATATATATTCAATATATATATATATATATATATATATATATATATATATATATATACATATATATATATGTATATATATATATATATATATTATATATATATATATATATATATATATATATATATATATATATATATATATATATATATATATATATATAAAATTATCGATATAAAAAAACTATAGGCTAGCAAAACTTTTACAATTTGCAAATGGGTGGGTCAAAGCGGGACACTAAAAAAGCAGTACATATTCGTTAATTGTAAAGCTTTAAAATTGATAAAAAATGAAGGCATTTTATCATTTAAACTTGTTCAGACATTAAAATCTTAAGAAAGTAACATGCCCATACAAATTACACGCCCTTACACCACCAAAAAAAAAAAAATTAAACTAAAAAGACTTTACGTGTTTTATTATAAAATACTCTTAAATAAACAAACTTAAGAAATTGTTGAAAATTTAAGTAGGGCAAAACTAGTACATATTATTAAGTTGGTAACTATTACTAAATTAAACAAAAAATATCATGAATTACATAAATTACAAAAAATATATACTGAAACTATTTGATTTCAATTTTGATGAGCTGGCTTATTAGCAATATGCCAATGTAGAGCAATTTTAATTCTACCATATGTATGCAGCTTTTCAAATTCTAAGTTCCTTTTTATTCACAGCTAAAACTGCATTTCATCCCATTGATGATTGATCTTTTTTATATAATTTTTTACCATAGCTGTTTACATTGAAAACTATTAATAATCGAAGTTAAGTTATAAAAATAACAACTCCTTTATATTTATTACTAATATTGTTTTTCTAAATAAAGAAAAAAAATGTTTTAGATTAAAAATAAAGTCATAAAACTGCAAACAAAATCGTAGTAAAATAGTCAATTATATAAATAACTTGTTGTCCCGATATGCCCCACAAAAGTCATTTTAATGAAATTAAAACTGTTCAAAAAATTCAATTCAAGATATTTTTTTAAATTCAGATTCTTAAAGAGAATAAATAATACTGTTTGAAAAATTTAAACTTTATATAAATAAAGCAAATTAGCAATAGTTCAAGATCTTTTATTATTGTATCGCTCAAGAAAATACGCAAATTTTGTTTTTCGCAAACTTACTGATGCATTTTGGTACTTTTATTGCATTTCGGTACTTTTGAAATTAATTTTTTTTACAACTATAAAGCACAATAATTTAAAATGTTTTATCAAAAAAAAATTTGGAAAATAAAATTTTTTAGTTAAGATATAAAACTTCAACTGTATGCCCCGATATGCCCCGCTCTTCCCTACTTCTTTAATATAAAACTGATTATTTCTTTCCAAATTTTAAAAAATTTCTAATACTTGGTGGTGTATCACCTTAGAGTTTAATTTAAGGTAATGATAATAATTACATGGATATATAGTGTATTATTTATTGTTACTTTCTTTTTGTAAGCTTCAAGGTTAAAGTATTTATTTGATATTATAAATTCCAATAAAACTTCAACGAATCTTTTATAAAACGAGTTATAAACTGAATTTAGTTCGTATGTAAAATTCTTTTCTGTCTAGTAACGATAGTTTTTATGTATAGTTTTTATTTAAAGATTTTTTATTAAATATAGTTTTTACATATAATTATTAGACCGTTCATTTAGTGATGCTTTATGACTTTATTCATTTGTTTTAATGAAACGTTTTACGAAACTTGTGTTGGTACAAATATATTTTGTATAGTATTATAATTTGTATAGTACAAATTTAGTGTCAATATCATTGAGAAAAAATAAATGAATAAAATGATCTTTCAATTAAAACCTCTTTTAATTAGGTTGTCTTAGGCCCTAGGCCCTTTTTTTTTAGGCACTTTTGCATAATAGCATGTGTAGACTTCAAATGGATTAAGTCAGCACTAATAAATATAAATGGTGAACAAGTTCACAGCATTTTTATTGTTTTGAACCATAATATATAAAAGCACATTTTGATATTTTTAATCTCACTTTTTGTAGTAATCAATTTGTCATAAACGTATATCGTTTGGATTGGCTGCTTTTATAAAACAATTAATGCCCCCTTGAAAATATGTATAAATAGCGTACTTATCGAAGTCTCGCTCTCTTGGAGTAACCTATCAAACAACAACGGAATCGAGCAACTCTTCTACTACTAACTGTAATCTACGATATCTTCTGTGTGTTTATCGCATATTTGTAATCTACGATATCTTCTGTGTGTTTATCGCATATTTGTAATCTACGATATCTTCTGTGTGTTTATTGCATATTTGTATATACTTATAAATTATAATAAATTGAACTCGTTTTACAATATGACTCTTACGTAAAACAACAGATGCTTTGGGTGAAAATAATATTGTTACAAATTTACATTTAAATACAAGTGACAGTTTCCGTATCCACTTTTTTTTTGTCACCATAGACAAACTTATAATTGAGGTTGAACGCAGGATTACATTACAGGATACGCAGGATTACATTACAGGTTAAGTTTTCTTTTTGACAGCCTTTGTCAAGTGATGAAATAGTTTCTAAACCAAATAAATTAATTAAAATTTATTTATTAGATCTGGAAGAGGCATTTGCTGATTAGTTTTTTTTTTTTTTGTTTTCCACAATGCTCGCAGACACAAAATCTGTTGTAGAAATGACGAAGACCCAAAATGAGAACAAGTTAGTCATAAGTTTTCCAAATGTAAATTTTGCTATTTGGATTTATCATTCAATTTTTGGAACAAGTTGTTAAGGTAAACAATCTTTTTAAAAACTCAAAAATAACTTAATGCGGGAAATATCATTTAAAGATGTTATTTCTAAGTTCTGGCTTAGAACCAGGAGATCCGAGGTTCGGCGCTGACTCTAGCCCAATAATCGACATTGGGAAGGAAGAAGGTACGAATTTCTTATTTAAAAGCTAATCCGCAGTGCTCTGTGATAAAACCCCTAAGAACTTGTGGTTTTATCACAAAAATAATAGAGCACCTTAATAACCACACACACACACAAAAAATTAAAAAAAAATTTAAGTTGTTATAGGCACAATGTTGAAAACTGGCAGAAAGAGTATTTAACTTTGTCTCATCAGCGCCACACCAAGTTTCAGTTACGCAAATAACGTTAAAAATAATCAAAAATTCTTCATTATTATTCCTAAAAGTTTCAAAATTCCTTATTATACTTTTTTGTTATAAAGTATCACATTTATATATTCTCGCACAAAAAATTATTTCAGTTCATTGTTATAAAAATTATATTGTTTAGTAAAGCACCTTTTTTGATATAATATTTTTTCGTTCAATTCTTTTCTTATTTGGACAGTTTTTACAAAAAATATCGTCATTTGTATAAATATTTTCTCCTTATAGCTTTAAACTAACCTCCTTAAAATTTCTGTCTTATTTTTATAATTAAAGAATTTTAAAATTGTTGTTAAGTTTATTTAAAGGTCTCCAGTGATTTTCAACTTTTTTAAGAAAAATAAATTGCTTTAAGCCGGAGTACCTTAATTAGACCAAAAAACTATATTGTACAATATGTAGTGGAAAAATGAAAGTTGCAAGTCTTTTCATTTCTATTTTATTTTAAGTAAATTTTTTAAATATAATTCGTTTTAAAACTAGAGTGAGTTATAGTTAAAGAGTTTTTTAAATGACGTAATGGTGTAAAGCATTTTTCCGCGTATTTTTATGTAAAATGAAACGTAAATAATCAATTTTTTAATTTTATAATTTTTTAAACATGTTTGGGCAGGGCAGTCTCGAAGTGGTCTTACATGGAGGAAGATGGGGGGGGGGGGGGAGGGGGAGTGTTGTTGTATATATTTTTTGCCAGCTAGAGACTCAAAATAATAATAAAAAAAAGGTCCTCAATATTTCCAATTTACCAACTATAGTTCAAAACTTGCTAAACGTGCCAACTCAAATGGTGGGATATCCCCCCAAAGCTATCATACAATATTTTTTAGATATTTTTGTGTTAAAGTTAAAATAAAAAAACATTTAGCATGAAAGCTTTAACTTAATGCAGCAAAAAATTGAAAGGTTTTAGTTTTGTTTACGTTTACTTATTTTCAATGACGCATTTCTTTGTAATTCTACAAAAAATGGCGTCTTTAAAGCCTCGCAGCTTTTGTGTTCTCTTTCTTTTACTCGGTTTTCTATTTCTTTACACTTATTGTTTGCTTATTCCATTTCGTTGTTTAGAAGAAGATTTTTTTAAATTATTTTGATACACTTTCAATAAGGTTGCAAACAACCACTGTTAAGTTAGGATTTATTTGAAAACAAAGAATATAATTAAAGAGCAAAGATACTGTTTACAGAAAACTTAAAAAGTTGTTGGTTGTATAACTCAGGATGGTGGGATGATGAGGATGGGAGAGAGTTCCAACGGGTTGAGGTGCGGGTAAAACCTGTTGTTAGAGCAGGGATAATACAATTTTAAGTCTTCAGTTGAAAAATAATAAAAATTACATTATTAACGTATTTACTTTAAATAATTTACTTTAAGGCAGTTATAAGTTTTACATTATTTTGTGAACTTAGAAAAAATCACCTCTAAGCAAACTTATTTGTCTTTGATAAAAACAGTGTGGTTAAAATTTGAAGGTGGAACAAAATTTCACAATTAGAAGATTCACAATTTTTCAGAATTAGAAGAAATCCAGTATCGTGGCTAGACTTCCCCACGGCCCCAATGAGAAATGGGGCAGAAAATTTACACTTGTAGCAAAAAAGAAATTTAATAATCTTTCCATATTACACAACTATTTGCACTCTTCTTGTTTTTGACCGATTGGTCAGTTTATAACTACATTACCATTTTAATTAAGCTAAATCCTTGTCAAAAACTAAAAAAATTCAGCTTAAAATTTTCTTTTTTTTTGTTTTTATTTTCGTACTTTCTTTGATTTTAAAAAAGATTTATTTAAGTCTTAATTGGATCAATGGATACTTTCTCCAAACAACATAAATGCGACCATGATGTTTTCTCCGCTTAGACTTCATTTACAATGTTCGAGTTATCAAAATCATGCCTATCAAAGACGACGTTAGCTTAAGTTTAAAAATGTAAAAATTTAAAAACAAGAAATAACATTTGTTTATTTTCAGATAAACCGCTTAACCACGCTCGTGTATTTAATAATAGAATACCGAACAAGAATCTTTTTTACCAGCTGGTATTTTAAACGCATTAATTTAAAAAAGAGTTTAAATTTTTTTTTCATAAAAGTTGCCATCACACGCAGTAGTTTGCGAGCATGTTGCGACTTGTAACTTAATGACAGGTTTGATTTTTTTTTAACAACTTTTATTTTCAATCATATATATATATATATATATATATATATATATATATATATATATATATATATATATATATATATATATATATATATATATATATATATATATATATATATATATATATATATATATATATATATATATATATATATATATATATATATATATATATATATATATATATCGTTGATTAAAAATTAATATTAAAGAAAAGTATTTAAAAAAGTAAACGAATTCTTTATCCTTTATGAACTTTATCCTTTATTTCCCTTGATGAAGTTTTTAGCCTGGTAAAGATGAGTTTCCACTCATCAGTTTCTAACTGAACGGGAAAGGAAAGGGAAAAATATTAACGTGAGCATGCGTAATATAAGTTTTGATTTATCCGAAAGAAAACTACGCATGCTTACATAACTATATTTCCATTCCCTTTCCCGGGAAAGAAAAAAATTCTTTATAGTGTTAGTCAAGATAAGTATTAGAGTTTTTTGTTTATTAAAACTTCAGCATCAAGTTTTTTTTTATTTTCTTATATATGCTTTCAGGGGCGGATCTAGGATTTTATATAGGTGTAGCTAAAATTTGTAAAATTACGTCATAATTGCAACTATTTAATAAGTCGGTTAGTCTACGTCAAAAAGACGTCCAACAATTACGTCATGTAGACGCCGCCAGACAGTTTTTTAATCTGAGCGTTTTTAATTCAGTTTTTGCACACATATTTTTTGCATTTATTTTTAATGGATTCTAATAAAATAATTAATGGTAAAATATAAAATTTGCCTTGGCTATTCTGTTCGTAATTTAGACATGTCTAATTTACTTAACGAAGTGCACCAACTAGAAGGTAAGCTATAGGACTTTGCACTCCATATGTAAGTTGTTATGCTGTCTAAAGTTAGCTCTCCAATTCTCGATTCTTTCCTTTATATCTTTGTTACTAATAGAATAAATGCAACTATCACTGCATTAAAAATATGATATCGTGATTTATTCAAAAGATATTTACTTATATATTACTAAGATATTAAAGTTGTATATTACTATATATAAATATATGTTAAAAAAAAAAGATTTGAACAGTCTCATTATCTATAGAATCCTCAGGAAGCTAATTTATAACATCTTTGTTTTTTATGAATATCGAGCACTTTTTTTGTAGCATACTCAAATGAAATTAACACATATTTAAATTTTTTATTTAGTGGTTTACATTATTTAGTTTAGAACAATTTTTAAAACATTTTACATTCTAGATGTCAAGGATTATGAAATGTACACAAAATAGAAAATAAATGTACTTATTAAATATTTATAAAAAAAAAAAAAAGATGCTCTAAGAGTAAATTAAAACAAAAAAATGATTGCAAATATAAGAGAGATTTAATTATTTTATTCAAGTATAAATATAATTATTACTTAATCATAGCCAATTATTTAAGGCTTGAATAGCAATTTTAAACATCTCTCTCCATTAGCTGATAATTTTTTGTTAACACCTTCTTTATCACGAACCATTTCGGTATAAATTGACATTAAAGCTAGCTCATTCAATGACTTTTTTAACACTCTACTTCTTGAATAAGTTTTTAATCTCTTGGTATTGTACCTAGAATTAAACCTTTAAAATATTCAAGAATGTTGGGGAAATAAATCATTGTCATGAGTTTCGTTTATAAAATACTAGATAGGGGTTTTGACTGATCTTTTTAAAGAGGCTTCCATAATCCAACTCTGCATAAATAAAGGTTGAATGCAGAGTTGAAATGATAGATTTCTAGAAAGAGTTGACGGCATACGACTTTTCAATAAAAATACATTAGGTTAAAAAAAACAATAATTTAGTCAGCTTATGCCGTAAAGTCAGGTCGTTTGTGGCTCAGCCACAAACCGATATGCAATGACCGATCTTTTTTTAATTCCGGTTTTTTTAGTTTTAAGTAATCGCTTTTTAAGCCGAATTTACACAGCAAATAAAAATAAACTTATCTTGATTATTTATATTATTTTTATTTTGAAAATATGTCGGAGTATTACACTGTTTTTTATTTCGCTGATTATTTTAAGGTGTAGCCTTAGCCACAACGGCTGTACCTTAGATCCGCGCCTGGCTTTCTGATTTATACAATTTTTAATCCGAATAAAAATATGTTTTCCTTTAGACTGTAAACTTAATGAGGAAGATAAAACTGTGTTAGTGACCCGTCGTGTAGTGTTGTATAGTGATGTGTAATGCCGTTAGTGTTGCGTAGTATCTTAGAGTACTTAGTTTTAATTAAAAAGAGGTTTTAAAATGCTGTTTAATTAAAAACGAAACTTTTAAAAAACTTTTAGCAGTTGATAAATTCCCCCCTTCCTTCACCCTTTTTAACCTTTTAACGTTTTTTTTTTTCCTAAAAAAAAACCAACAAAACTTATGAGCTTTATATAAACAATTTCTTTGTCAAATAAAAAATGATGAAACACCTTGTTTGTGTTTTATTAAAATTAATTTTTAAATAATAAATAAATAAAAAAATTAAAAATCAATAAAAAAAAATTAGAAAACAATATCTTATTGTTTTTAATTAAATTTAAATTTAACAAAACAATATTTGCTACATTTTTATAAATTAAAGAAACAAATGTTTGCTAAGTCTTAACGGTTTAAATTTGTTTGCAGATTGGGCTTTTCAAAAACAGGTGTTCCATAATTTCAAAAACAGGTGTTCCATAATTTCAAAAACAGGTGTTCCATAATTTCAAAAACAGGTGTTCCATAACTTTCAAAAACAGGTGTTCCATAATTTCAAAAACAGGTGTTCCATAATTTCAAAAACAGGTGTTCCATAATTTCAAAAACAGGTGTTCCATAATTTCAAAAACAGGTGTTCCATAATTTCAAAAACAGGTGTTCCATAATTTCAAAAACAGGTGTTCCATAATTTCAAAAACAGGTGTTCCATAATTTCAAAAACAGGTGTTCCATAATTTCAAAAACAGGTGTTCCATAATTTCAAAAACAGGTGTTCCATAATTATCAACGCTGCTATCTGAAAACAGGTGTTCCATAATTATCAACGCTGCTATCTGAAAACAGGTGTTCCATAATTATCAACGCTGCTATCTGAAAACAGGTGTTCCATAATTATCAACGCTGCTATCTGAAAACAGGTGTTCCATAATTATCAACGCTGCTATCTGAAAACAGGTGTTCCATAATTATCAACGCTGCTATCTGAAAACAGGTGTTCCATAATTATCAACGCTGCTATCTGAAAACAGGTGTTCCATAATTATCAACGCTGCTATCTGAAAACAGGTGTTCCATAATTATCAACGCTGCTATCTGAAAACAGGTGTTCCATAATTATCAACGCTGCTGTCTGAAAACAGGTGTTCCATAATTATCAACGCTGCTATCTGAAAACAGGTGTTCCATAATTATCAACGCTGCTATCTGAAAAGGAGATAAAGGTAGTGACATTTTCTCATTAAGCTACTACTGTTTCTCCATTTCATTACTCGGTGTAGTTAGGGCTGTTTTAGAACTATTGGAATTCTTTTTTTCTGTTGTTTACTCGATGTTTGCGATTTTAATAAATACTTTTATACAAGGCCGTTCCAAGCTAGCTAGGGGGCCTATGGTAATATTAAGTTGTAAAACTCCAATATCTAAATGTTATCTATACAATCATATTAAAAATAGGATTGAATTTTTAATATTTAGCAATTATTTTTGGCAGTCGCATTAGAAATGATTTAGAGACTTTTAGTCAGGATTTAATAAATGTGGGACTTTAATAAATGGGTGGCTAGGAATTATTTACAGAACATAAATAAAAAATGTATTTCTAGAAAGGCCTGCACTCCAATTCCCATTTTTTAACAGCTGTTTCAATATAAGAATCAACAGGCCTAGTATACTCAATAGAATTTAATATTCTTTATAAGTTTTATAAATTTGGAATTCCGACCACGAAAGAGCTTTTTTTTAGAAAAACTGCCAATAAAAAAAGATCATATGATTAAACTATAATTTCATATATTCATTTAACTATATTGATATATATACTATATTCATTTCATATATTCATTTTATTAAACTATAACTTTATATATTCATTTCGCCTAATTAACGTATTTATTTAAAGTCTCATTAAATCTCGACAAGCAATCATGATTTTTAGGAGATTAAAAAAAACAAAGGATGTTCGGTCTGAGTTTTTTTGCTACAAATGTTTTTATTTTAGGTTACGACAAAATTTCAAATTTCTATCATTTTAATTTTTTTTTGCCTCGTCATAGTTCAGAGATATGATCATTAAAAAAAAAAATGTCGTGGTAAGCAAAGTATCACACAGACGGTGTAATATTTAAAAACCGCCTTAACTTTACATTTGAATCACTTTAACTTCATATTGATGAATTTAAAAAAGCGAATTCTATTTGAACAAGGATATATAAGTAGAAAGAAGTTAAAATCGCAGTTATTTGTCATCTGTTATTGATATACCTTTGTAAATTTCTAAATGTTAAAAGAAAAACAGCAACTGATTACTGATCATTTTATTAATCTGAAGTCGAGAGGGTGAAACCTTCCTATAAGTATACTTTGCTTTGACATCTTTGTAAACATGTTATATAAGACATCTTCTTTGTTATAAGCAATTAATTTTAAAATACTCAGTGGTGGATCCATGATTTTTGTAATTTTCAGATAAATTCTAAATTCAAAACCTATATATATATATATATATATATATATATATATATATATATATATATATATATATATATATATATATATATATATATATATATATATATATATATATATATACAAATGTCAATAAGTATGTTTTGCCAAAACAAACTTATTGACACTTAAAATAATTGCTCTGAGTAATGCCTAAGAACAAAAAAACAGCTTACATAGAAGGTTTTACCCGCATAATGCGGGGAAACTAGTTTTATTTAGAAAATATAATCTTTTTTTCAAATAAGTTTATATATAGGGTAGAATAGGGTAATATGAGCACCTTGGTAATATGAGCATACTTAAAGATTTCTAAAATATAAGCAGTAAAGTTAAAGTTGCTTTGTATTTTTTTAATTGACATTATGTGGTGATAACAGGAATCAGTACAAGTAGCATTAATTTATATGCAGTAATTATCATCTAATTAAAACGCTCTTAAATTTTTTGCGTTATAAAATTATATCATCACGCACGAATAAATCCGAGGCACAAAATTTTGGGGCTAAAATAGTGAAATGATTTTTTTTATAAGAAAAAATATGTTAGCTAAAAATTGAATCGATTTTTGTTTGAAACTAGAAACATTTAGGTTTGACTTTAATTTATGATGCCATTTTTGTATAATATGAGCATGCTCAAATTACTCAGTGTTTTTCATTGAGATTACCTTGTTTAAAGTCCTATAATAGCAGTGGTTTTAATTGCTTTTTGAATAAAAACAAAACATAGCAAAAATTTATAATATTTTAACATTACTATATATTTTTTTGTAATTTAATTTCAAAAAATTTGAATTTTTATCGTTCAGTTAATGAAATTGAAAAAATAACGAACTATTTTTTTTTTTTTTTTGAGGAAAACATAGTTGTTTTGTTTCAACAAAAACTTAAAATTTGATCTTTTAATGATAAGTTTTGTTAATAACGAATCATTATATTCCAAAAATTAGTTCTAATTGTAAATTGATATTTTTTTACTTAATGTTATTTTTTTGAGCTAATTTTATTACCAAGTGGTCTGGTAATATGAGCACTTTTGCTACTTTTTAAAACCTCTGCGTTTTTAAGAAAAGATTTGGGGTGCCCAAATATCTAAGTGGATCATAAGTAGGGATCCCTAAAAAGGGTTCGCTAAAAGTTTGGATCCAGCACTTTTAAAAATATTCCAATTTTTGCTTAAAATGTTCATATTACCCTAATCTACACTATTTAAAATTTCATGAAAATACTTTGGTAAATATTGCGCAATGCTTTTTCATGAAACTTTATATAGGGTATATTAGGGCACCAATATGAATTGTTTGTACATAATTATTAATTAAATATTAATATTCATGTTTTCCTGACTCATACAACCTTCAACTTTTCAAGTCTTCTGTCAACCGTTTCCTTGCTCTATAACTCTGTTCTTTTTTTTCCTAGTAACTCCCAACTTAATAGTGGTTGCTTGCAGCCTTGTTGGGAGTGAATGCAAAAAAAAAAAAAAAAAAAAAAAAATTAAAAATTAAATATTAATATGAGCACCTATATGAATTGTTTGTACATAATTCATATATGAATTGTTTGTATATAATTCATATTATGAATTATGTACAAATGTATTCACATAATGTATTTCTTGTTTTTATTTTGGTACTTCAAACTTTGATTTGTTTATTTGATATTATTTATAAAAATCTTAGTTTACAATTACTAGGATATATTTTAAATAATTTCTCTTCCCGTCAAACCCCTCCCCTCCCCAAATTTATTTTTAGCTTTACTGTCACATCAGATTTGACGAAAGAAAAAGAAACTTTTTTTATTTAGGTTTGATGTTTAATTAGAGTTACATAGCCATCCAACAATATATTCACCTAACCACTCTTTCAAACAAATTTTTACAAAATCTTATGCCATAAAAAAATAATTGTTACATTTTATAGAAAAGTTAAACTATGCGTTCTTTAAGTAACCAACAAAGACAATTTAATTACACGGAAAATGATCCTCAACATCATACAAGTTATTCAAAAAACCCAAGTATCGGTTATGTCTATTCTGTTCAAAATCAAGTTGAGTACGTTAACCATATCAATCAAGCAAAAGCTAATTTAACTGAATCAATGCTACAATTAAGTAACCAACAAAAACGATTAAACTACACCAGAAACGATCCTCAACATCAAACAAGTTATTCAAAAAACCCAGTTATTGGTTGTGTCTATTCTAATCACAATCAAGTTGAATACATTAACTATATCGATCAAGCTACATATTTAACAGCTAATGCTAATGAATTAATGCTGCAGTTACCCCACAATCAAACAAAACAATACAGAAATGAGCAGTTTTTTTGCAACGAAGCAGATCCCAGTTATTACAACAGTATAAATGACACATATACAGAATCTAGCATGTCAGATCAATATTATAAACTGCTTTTGTATCGGGAAAAATTAATGTTTAAATTGAACGAGATAAACTACGATACTGCTATCTTTCGATTCTCCTTTTCCAGTTGCAAAACTAACTTAACAGCGGAACAAATAAAATATTATATGGCTACTTATGAATTTGTTTTGAAATTGCGAGAATGGCATCAACGGGAAATTAAACATGTTAATGAAAAATTATGTCGCTTATATTTTTGCAACAACGGGTACCAAGTTGCTCGTTTTAACCAAATAATTGATAGGATTAAAATAAAAACGAAAAAAGAAAACCGCTATACAAGTATATTGAGTACAAGTACTTCAATTTCACCCAGCTTTGCAACTATGCCAAAGAATAGTTATATTATGGCAACTAAGCCAAAGTGTAGTGTTAAACAGAAGAGTTCATATCGGCTTTGTCATTTGCCCAATTTGAAACCAGCTTTAAATAACGGGAAAATTGCAGAATATAGTTGTCCTAAAAGTAATTGTTTTGAATTTTACGAGTATGAAAACAAAGAAAATAGTAAAAAATATCTTTCTTTGTGTAAGAAAAGATGGAATTCAAACAAAGAAAAAGATAGAAAAATTTCAAGTCCAAAAATCTCGACCCGGTGCTCTGATTTTGCAAAACTAAAAAATGAAAACCTTATTAATGAAACATGCAGTTCTTTAATAGCTTCAAATAATTTGAAAAATGTAAAATCACCTGCTGTTAACGAGAGTTTAAGTGACAAAGATATAGAGTTAAGCTTTAATAATGCTTTAGACAACAGTTTTTACAACAGTTTTTCTGGCGATGAATCTATTGGAGAACTTGTTATTGACGAAAACTATTATCACTAATTTTTTGTTTAGTCCTTTTTTTTTCTTTTTTAAATATATCTCCTATGATCATTACAGTGTATGTAAAGAATAACCTATATTTTGCAGAAGTTTGACTTAAAAAAGTTTGTTAATTTTTAATTTTAAAATTTTTATTTTTTTAAATAAGTCAAACTGCATCAAATAAATTTAATAGTTTTTACAATTGTTTTTCACTTAACTTTTTAAAGAACTTAACTTTTTAATGATTTGCTACAAGTTTACTTCATAGGAGTTTCAGGTAATTAAATCTGAAAGTTTAATGATAAAGTAAGATTGAGCATAAAGACATGTTTGGCAATAAAATATCTCAATATTTAGGTATTGCTTTTTTTTCTTGCAAACTACTTAAGTTGAATGCTTATATTCATGCCTTAGGTTTTTGGTGTTATAAAAGCTTGAAACTGTACGTTTAAAGCTCTTATAACAGTAAAAGCAATTCAAAATTTTAATTCCTATAAAACACACCGAGTACACATTTTGCAGAATAGTGCCGTTGATGAATCATGGTATGCACTTCTTTGCCAGAGCGTGTAATTGTTTGTTTTTTCATGCAATCTTTATTTTAATGTGTTGTTTTTTCATGCAATCTTTTTTGATTTTAATGTGTTGTTTTTTCATGGAATCTTTCTTGATTATAATGTGTTGTTTTAATGTGTTGTTTTTGATGTGTACAACTAACACTTATAATTTTTTAAAAAATTTTACTAAATTTCTTCTTTTATGGTAAAATAAATCAAAAAAAATTATTGAAATATAATTTTCATTTTTTATGTTTCCATAAAACAAAAAAACGTTCGCCATTTGTAAAGTTATTGCAAATCATACCTCTTGAAAATCACAAAAAACTATTTAATTTTCACCGACAAAAAGACCGAGCTTAATTCAAGGGAGTAAGGGGTGGAATAAAAGGCCTTCTAACTAAACGCCAGTGTAATTAGTCTTTGGCCTCGGCCTTGCCTTAAGGTCAAAATTTAAGATCTTGGCCTTGAAACTGTTGGCCTTGGTTTTGGTCTTGGCCTTGAAAATCATGGCCTTGGCCTTCCACCTTTTCTCTAACAATTCAGAACTTTCTTCTTTTGTGTTTGCAATTTTAAAAATTATACTACATTTGATTTTGTTTACTTAAAAACTTTAGAACTTAGTTTTGCGTTTAATTTCACAGTTTCAATTGCCATTTTTGACGAGCCATTTCAAGGCAATAATCAATGATATGATTGGTTAATGAGGATTTATTACATCTTGTATATTAAGTCACAAAATATATATACTAACGGTTTTTATTAGTTACGACATTTCAAAATTAAAAAAAAATATTTAAACACATGATTTTTTTTATTTAAATTTTATTTTTTAATTAAAAACAGAATTTTAAAGGTTTTTTAAATTAAAAACAGTTTTTATCATATTTAAATTATTTTTAATTTATTATAAAGTATTTTTTAATTTGTTTTTTTAAATTTTTTTTTAATAATTTAATTTATAAAATCCAACTGTAATTTATAAAATCCAACTATAATCTACTAAAAATAGTGTGACACCACAGATTCAAAAAGCCTTTATCAAAAAATAAAAATGCTTTTACAAAAAAGAACGAATCAATGACTATAATTAAATCAAAAAGATATTTTGTTAAAAAAAAACCTGTACACAATTAAACAATATTCAAAAATTAGAAATCTATACAGGGATTATCTTTTTCCGAATATTTCCGGAATTCCAGATATTTTTTTCAACTTTTTAGTTTTTCCGGATATCCAAAATGTTTTCCATACATACAAGTTTAGGTACATATTTTTGTAATATATTTTTTTTAAGCTTTTTTACTTATTCCTCATACAAGAAATATGAGCTAATAATTTTACTCATTGCTCATACAAGAAATATACTCAAAAATTAATGAAATTAAAAAAAAAAAATTGGTAACAACTCAGCTAAAATTAAAATCAAGGGGAATATAAGGGAAAATGTATTCCGGATTTTTTCCGGATATTTTACCGAAACAATTTCCGGATTTTTAAAATACGACCAGGATGATCTATGTCTATATTTGACAAGTATTTCTGTGTTACTGCACCGTTAGCTCATGTCGAGGGTATCTTTTCTCAGAGTGAACTGATAATGTGCTTGTATGTCTGATTCGTTGCTTGAGACTTTGATGTTTCTTATAATATAGTTGTAATATAGACTTATAGGCTATGATAGTTAATGGTTATGACTTATAGTTAAACCTAACAACTAATATCAACATATCTTTCGATAAAAGATATTAATATTAGTTGTTTAGCATTAGGCACAAAAATACATAAAATTAAAGAATTGAAAGTTTTAATTCTTTATTGTTATATATTTTTGTTTTCGGCTTTCATATATATCTACAAGTATATTTTCTTATTGACTTCGCTGAATTCTGTGAATAACCTTGGTCTAATTTCACAACATATGATTTTATTGTCACAGCACTTAATAGTTGGTCTTAAGGTAAGGCCAAGTTTAAAGTTTGGAGTTGGCCTTGCTCGGGCTACTTTTGGCCTTGTTAACAATTATTTTTTAAAAGATTTTATAATAATGTAAAATATTTTTAAATAACAAAAGTGCAAAAGTCAGAATTTAAATAGATTCAATAACAAAGAACGCTTTTTTGCATGAAGGAGTCTAAAAATCATTTATGTTTTTAATTATTATTTTATTTTTTTTCTTTAAAGTAAACAGTTTTTAAGAAAGCTTCTATTATTTGGGTAAAGTTGTGTGAGTTTTATTTTTTCCGTTTTTATTGCTACATTTGTTAATTTTATAGCGGTAAGTCAAAGAAATTTCAATTTAGTCAAGGAAAATGAAATCAAAAAATGTCTGGCCGCTCTGAGTCAGTATAATAAACACCATAAGCAAATTAACATGTTATTTTTAAATATAGTTATATTAAATAGAGTTTTTGGTTAATTATTAAGTAGTTATTTTAATTTATAATTATCATAGGTTTTCTAGTTAATAATTTTTTGTTTCTTGAAAATAGATTTAAAAGTGAAAACTTTCTATTGCAAACATCAAACCCAAATTAAATTAAAAAAATAAATTGTTTTACTTCTGCTCAAAGAAATTTTTAAAGAAATATAGTTCGATTTTTTAAACCAAGTTTTTTTCTCTCACTTTTACAATACAATTAAAACAAAAAAATTAAATGAAAACGTCAACATAAAAACCATTTGAATTAAAAAAGTCAATTACACTTAAATTTTTAATATTGGTCTATCTATAAATATTCTAAAGAATCCATATCTGGAAGAAGGATGAGAAACCCAAAACAAGATATAAATAGAACATAAGCTTACTTTCGTTTTTTAAACTTAGTTAAAAGTCAATCCGTGATAACATTAACCTCAGCAATCATTTTTCCTCTTTATTTATACTATGTTTTATGGTTTAATAAATTTCAACCCACCATTTGTCACCACTTTTAATTATATTTCAAAAGCATTAGGTTCATTTTTGTTGAAGTTTTCCATTACAGTACTCCAGATGACTATCATAACAGTTGCCCTCAGCTGATCCATTTTCCTAAGAAGTCTACTACCTTTTATTATTGTGCCCGGCTGTTGTGTTTTGTCATTGTTCCGTTCTTTTAAGGCTACTTTGAATTTTACAAGTATTATTAACAACTAAGAATTTTTTGTATTGTACTTTGTAACTAATAGTATCTCGTTCGACGAACAGAATACGCATCTACACGTGCAGACCATTTAATCTAGTGAGAGATTTTTTGGAACCTTTACACCTTTTTTCACTTTTGATATCAAGACTTACCAGCGTCGCGTTGAGGCAGAAAAAAAATTATTTAGTTGTTGAAGATAAAAAAAAAAGATTCTCTTTATGACAATTTTAAACATATCATCTGCTCCAAGACCTTTTAGTCGAATTAAGTTAATCTACGTGCGAAACATTTTTTGTTGAAACAACAATGATTGAATAATATTTGGCAGTTTTAAGTTCAATAACTGTAGAAAAGTAATTTGACAATATAAAAAAATCTTATATCAAACTCTTTAAGTACTTTTTTTGAAGCAATTTCAAAGTATATCATATGAAAATGTAAAGGCGATTTATATCTATCAATTATTTATGAAAGCAAATTGCCAAGTTGCTGGATGTACTCTTTGCAAATGTTAGCTGAGAGATAGGAAGGCTACCTTTCACTCTGAGAATTTGTATGATTAGGTGCTACCTTTACCTTAGTTTTACGTATTTAAAATTTGAGCTCAAAACAGGTCGTATTTAGCTAGTAACTTAGTAATTAGCATAATTAAATTTTTTTTTTAGTAATGAACATATTTTTTAATCCACGAAATGTTCACCCTCTGATGAGTCGTATTAAAAGAACTTATTAGAATTTTGTTAACAGGCCTACATAAATATTTATATAGTAATAGACCATTAGGTAAAGACAAATAATCTAAAAGTAGTTTATAAAATAAAAATATAGTTAAACTTTACATGGAAGAAAGAAATTTGGTGACAGATACCCCCGACGCAGCACATTTTTCCAATAACCCTTTTCACTCTGAAACTGTTTAAGGAAATTGCGATAAATCCTGAAAACGCATTTACTTTAATTAACGAAGATAGAGATTATGTTGATAACTCATAGCACTGATTGCTCATGCTCACTGATTGTCTAATGAGCAAATTTTCAGTTGCAAAATACAACTTGTAGAATACATCTTTGCTAAAAAACTTTTAGAAAAGTTTGCAGTAACGGATTGTCCATATATTACGTCCCAGTGGGCACCGGACCAAAAATAGACGTCTTTTGAATGTTCAAAAGACGCCCAAAACGTGTATAAGACGTTTAAAAGACGTCTTTTTTACATCTGTGCCCACTAGTCCAGCGAAAACTGCCGCTCAATGAAGCAAAATGATTTCCTACTTTTGCGTTGCGTAATTTATCGACGATCCCTAAACACTACTTCTTTTTGCAGAATTACCAACCAATCGCGTTTAATCGGTTTAATTTTTGTCAACCAGCCAATCGCGTTCTTTCTTTTCTTTATTTATTAGTTTTTTTTAAAATAACTATTTTGAGGCGTGAACTGTGGAAAATAGTATTACAAAGAGCTTAACTGTTTTTTGCTCAAATTTCAATTTCATTACTGAAATTATATTTTAATTTTTTTTTTTAATAGTTTAATAGTTTATTATAATGTAGGAATTTCAGCAAAATTTATGTAAAAATTTTTTTTGAAGCTCTACTGTTTCACATTTTTGTAAATTGAAACTGTTCTATAAAACTTTTTATGATATAGTATAAGTTGTTATACATTTTTGA